CGCCTCGCTGCCTTGCGGGTCAGGCTTTGGCTAGCCGAAGGCTTCGGTTGTGGATTCCTCAAGAAAATTCACCTGCCTTGGCCTGTGCAACTTGGCAGAATTCGGCCCACGTGCAATTCATGGAACGTTTATCTTTTTTATAAAGATTATTGCACCATGATTTGTTTGGCACACATTCTGTCCTCAGACGTGTGTGAAATATATAATATATACAACCATGAAACAAGACTGAAAGAGCGGTGGCACAATATAAACAACCTTTTAACTGTACTGAAACGCTATGCCCAGACTCAGCTTCAATGGACAAGGTAATCTGATTAGCGTCAGACTAACTGAATTGTGCATTAGAGTAATTCACCCAGTCAACCAGTCGTTGTTCGTTGTGTGAATAACTTGTTTACTTTTATCGTAGACCGTTTCATTAACCAAGATCCGTGGGCCACTGGCGTTGCGTATCAGTTGAAATTCTTTTTCCACTATTCGTTGATGCAGTGGCCCATTCCAAGGCGCTAGCTGTTTTGTCCTTCTTTAGTACATGCCTTTTTGTGTAATGAACATCAGACATGGTGGATCCCATAGTCACGAAGACCTGCTATTGAGTGATGGTAACCAGTAACCTGCCCCTGTGACTTGGGGTGGCGAGCCACATAAGACCCCATTAGGTCAGGCGGGATACTGAACCGGACGGCAACAAAGCTATCTACCACATAAATTGGGTAGCGGCATCAGGACTTGAAACTCGGACCATAGAGCTCACAGCATGCCAGGTGACTGCGACCAAATCACTTTTTCATCACCACTCCAACTCGTTTTCAACTTGCTTCACGGTCCTTCGGGCTTTGAGCGAACTGAAGTAGCAGACATCATGTTTCTGCTCTGAACTTGGCTGATAGGGATTTGTTGCTTTTACTACATCGCAGATACCAATTTCCGATAGATCTAGGAATCCATAGCTTAAGCTACTCGGTCGTGAAGGTTTAACGATACATGAAGAAAACATCCCGAATCAAGTTATTATGTCTTCGAGAGCATGCAACACGCGCTCTAAAGCTTACATAATGTCTGAATGACAATTACTACATTCGGCTTCAGCGTGAATGTCAAGCAAGACCAACTTTACCCATTCTCCCCTAGTTCACTCATCAGTCTCATGCAATGCTCTAGAAAAATTAGCCCTTATATATAGTAAATCAAGATCAGGGCATTTTACAGTACAAAAAGTGCGAACTGCGATGTTGTAAGTAAACCTAACCCAAGTTAGATAACAAATAGATACAAAAGCAAACAGAGTAGAACGTTAACCTGTACGACCAAATTTTCACCCACCTTACGTTCGAAGAACTCGGCTAGTAGAGCAGCAGCTTCAAATTTGATTGAATCATCTTTGGCGCGCAGATGAGCACCTAGTGTTCTGGCTTTCTCCAGATGCGATTGTGTTTGTTCGTCGTTCTTACTGTAGTGAAAAAGAAGTCGGCCTATCTGTAGGTGGGTTCGAGCCTCTACATTGACGGGAAGCTTAAAATTAAGTGCTGCCTTCAGACAGTGTACAGCTAGTCGCATATTTGGGGGGCTCATGGTACGGAATGTCTCAGCGAGGCCGAGTAATGAAGCATAGCAATCAGATATCATATTTGCATCCATTGGTGCTTCAGGTTGACTTGGAACAGCAGGCTGAACATGGGCAGTAGTAGGAGCCGGTGGCTGCGATGGTACGGGGATGGTAGCGGGATCCGGGAAGACAGTAGGAACTGCAGAGGGAGCACTGGATTTTTGCGGCATGAAGTGGGGATTGGCCGGTGACCACAACTGAGGCTCAGAGAGCATCTGGGGGACAGGGGGTTTGCCTGTAGAAGGATTCCCAGTAGGTGCTAAAGACGTATTCATATTCGGAAAAGTCTAATCCATATATATACGCAGAGACCTGTCGGGATGAAAAAGTGACCATTATTGTATGGATTCTTCGAATAGAATATCAGCAGGTGCAATAGACCAATTGTAATATCGTTTTTTCATAAATTGGCGTGAAATACAGGGATGATGTGGAAACCGAATACTTATAATTTCACTGTGATTACTAGTCTGTCCTTTTTGAACACTTGGGTTTTGGACGTAAACCAAAATGTACACATAAGTTGTCGGAAAATGATAGACTGACAAAACGTAGTATGGTGATACAGAAACTATCAGATTTTGTTGTTCTCTGGTTGGAGAGCACACCACTATTATATGGAGTGAATACAGATCGCTCTTGCAAGCTCCAATGTTTCCGTGGCTTATTTCATTAACCGAACTCTATGTCCATGAGGGATTTCTGCCTCTACTGTTCATCACACCAGTATGTGTAATGAAAAACGAAGACAGCCCATGGAGACATAAACTGCTTACTAAACCATCATCATCATCATCATTTCACAGCGTAATACAGTAAAGCGAACTTCATTGATCGCTGCCAAACGTGTAATGCATACAAGATAAGTGAGAACGTGTAAGAAGGACAGGGATTGGGCCTATTTTTAGGGACGGGAAAAGAAAACGAACCTCTACGGTCAAAACACAGGGTAAACAGTCCAACTGTGCATACATACCATTCCAAGCTTTCTGGTCTGATAAAAGTGGCAGCAAGATCACAACTGCTGTCCGTTTGCCGCCATGACCTTCAGTGTCTCCAACCATGCGGTTTTGGAGTCTTTTGGACCCCAACTCGGAAGAAGAGAGACACCTGCTCTACCTAATCGCTCAGTGCATTTCTTCACGCCTCGTCTCCACGTCACCTGCTGGCCTCCATGTGGCTTCCTTCAGCCTGCAACAGCCACTGCGAATAAGGCGCGCTGCGGTAAGCGACCGTTGGACATACGCAAAACGTGTCTTAACCAACGGAGCCTATTGAACTGGATGCGATCAGATAGCGAGTTCTTGTTTGATGTATTCCCAAACAACGGACGACTAACATCTAGGTTACTAACCCGCTCACTCCATCCCACTTGGGCCAGACTACGTAGGCATCGAAAACCACAACCGAGAAGCAGAACTGATTGTACAGTGGCGCAGTATGCGCAACTTTTCAACTTCAGTGAAACGTCACGTCGCCGCCGCAGGTGTTGAAGTCCTGCGTATGCCGCTCGAGCCTTGGAAATGCGGGCGGCTATTTCCTTTGATGCGCTACCATCGTTGCTCAAGCAGCTACCTAAGTACGAGAAGCAGTCAACTTCAGCGAATTCCTGACTGTCTAGTTTCAGAACAGAACTCGGTGACACACGCTCTTGCAACATCACTTTGAAGGTGCAAAGTGCATGCCAAACGGAGCAACATAATTTGCTAATCTGTCAAGTGCTCTGTGTGCACCATGCATGGATTCGAACAGGCAAACGATGTCATCAGTGTACTCTGGATCGCACAGCTTTCCTCCAATTAATAAACCCCGTAGGAGAACCTGTGAATTACCTTTAAAATTCTACTGAATAACGAAACTGTGCATAAAAAAGAAACCCATCTAATGCAACAGTCATAAAAGCGTTCTTAGCGGAAATAAATTAGTATGGTCGAATCGCAACAGGAGTTTAAATCAAGTCAAGTCAAAATAAGCTTCATGAATAAAATGAAATAAGAAAAAAGAAACAAACTTCCAAACACCTGTTCGTATTTGGCCACCGACGTAGGACTCAGTTGGTTTTTAGTTTATGCAAAAATGGAGCATGCAACTACGTGTGACCATTTTGGCTGCTGTCTTTTGGCTACCTACTTGGACGAAAGAGTAGGAGGAATAAAGGGGGTGTTGAAAGCAATGTTAAGGCAAAAATGGAATATTCTGGTACACTAAGGTTGCAAGGAGACCGAGAAGATCCACGAGCACCACGTCACTGTTTCTAACTATTGGTTAATCTGATCCCAAGGTCCCCAACCCGAAAACCTCACCCATACCTTGATGGGTAACGTCTGGGAACACTGGGTGTTGTGGAAACTTTTTTCGTACCTGGAATATTGAGTGCAGAGATCAGTGAAACCAAAGAACGGACATCAGATGCTTCAAGAGTATCGCGTCCCACTTCCCATACGGTAGCTGCAAACCGACGTAAAAGTGGTAAACAGCGACTTATGAAGTAAATTTTTCAATCAATAGAACGTAAAAGTATGTGCGATTAAAAATAAACTTGCAAACTCGTGGGATTCGCATTTCCATAAGTCGTTCAAAAATTGTTCTCGATAGTCTTTATTCGGAGTCGAAGAGGAGTGACGTCTTCAAGACTCACGGGGAAAGACATAAGATATTCTGCTTTACTAAAATTTTAAACAAGGTTTCGCACAGTGGTCAATTTTCCTTCAAAACAACCTTGATATGTAGTATCTGGAGCTAGGAATATTGACAACTCCGAACTGGAATGGCCCTATTCAAATGCGCTTGTGCAGCACGTAAGGGAGCCTATCCGGATCCGTTTCAACCAGAGACCTTCAATTCTTGTCTTAGTTATAACTAGAGCAAGATCAGATATTTTGTCTCAAAAGAGAGGTCCCACTAGGTAGAATTAACCACGCGGTCCTTCAGCTAAAATGGTCCGGTTGTATAGGGGTGTACAAGAGATGAGTCTTCAAGCGGCAGTGTTAGGTTTAAGCTCGGAACCCTCAACATCGTCGAAGAGAGATGGTATGCAATAAAAGATGGTTTACTGAGGCTCAGAGCAGTTTGCACCACTGCAGTCCACACGACTCAGACAACGGCCACCACGGTGGAAACCATGTTTAGACAGGGCACTG